GCGGGACCGGGGACCGGGCACCCCGGGCACCTCCCGCCCCGCGCCGCCGCCGCCACGCCCGGCACGGTGAGATCCCGCTCTGCCACCCCGGCCCCTGGGTGCTGCTGTGGCCCAGAGGTCCCTGCCAGGACCCGCCTGGCCTTCGCACAGCTTTATTTTTGAACTCTTTTATTTTGAGCGGTTCTGCGCGGCTCGATGTCAGCAGCGGTTGAAGGGCTGTGAGCCCCACTCCCAGTCTGGCTCTCTGGGGGTGGGATGGTTTGCTGCTCTTGTGGGAGTCAGGACATCTCCCGGGGAGCTATCAGGTCACCATGGTCCTGGGCACAGCCATGGTGGCAAGGTCCAGAGGGCAGGGGCTGGCACACGGTGAAGTTACTTCCAGGCTCTGCTGAGCCTTGAGACATCTGATGTGTGTTGGTCACCCAGCAGTAACCACACAACTTGCTGGTGTTGGGCTGCCTGTCCATGGGTGGTTGTTTCACCCACATCAAGGGGTTTAACTCTGCTCTGAGCAAACTCTGTTGTTCCTGGGTATCCAGGATTGGGCCTCTTGTCTCTCATGAGCTGCCTCCTGGGCTTGTGGGTGAGTAACTGGATTCCTAGAGAGCAAGAGGGCTGGGGCCAGCTGTGCTGAGGACATGGGAAAAATGAAGGGGAGATTAAGGAAGGGCTCTGTGCTGTGTCAGGCTGTCTGCATCTGGCAGGGCTGGTGATGGGTGGCCCCAGGAGACAGCCCCATTGTCCTCCTCCTTTCCTTCCCAAACCCTGGCGTGCAGCATGATCCTTGCAGGCCCCATCCTGGGCTTTGCTGTGGTGTTCTGGTGCTGGAGACCCCATGGCAGCAGGCCAGGGAGCAGTCAGCTAATGGCAACAACTCCATGTCTTAGAATCATGGAATCCCAGAGTGGTTTGGGTTGGAAGAGACCTTAAAGATCATCTAGTTCCACCCCCCCTGCCATGGGCAGGGACACCTCCCAGCAGCCCAGGCTGCTCCAAGCCCCATCCAACCTGCCCTTCAGCACTGCCAGGGATGGGGCAGCCACAGCTTCCCTGCCCAACCTGGGCCAGGGTCTCATCACCCTCACAGCAAAGAATTTATTCCTAAAGAAGAAATTGCTAAAGAATTTGGGTGCCCACAGACTGGAGGGGAGGCAGGGGATGCTCGCAGGGCTGGTGGCACCGGGCAGGAAGGCTGGCTGCTTTGTGCTCAGTTGGCTGTTTATCCTGCTTGGAGCAGGAAGCTGATGCAGCTGAGCCAACAAAGTGCTTTGTTATCACCCCTGTCCCAGCAGGAGCTCTGCTGGCAGCTGCTGTGTCCCCCAGCTGGCTCTGGGCACACTCACACCCTGGCAAGTGGGCAAAGTCCCACCCTGGTTTGTCTCTCAGCTGGTCAGCCTGGCCCTGGTGGCCACCGTGGGGCTGGGAGGGCATCCCTCCCTCCCCTGCTCCCTGGCTTGGCCCCAGCTTCTCTCCTTCAGCAGGTTTTGGCCTCTCTCAGGGTTTGGTGGGATCTGGTGGTGGCACTTTCAAGGGATTTCATGGGTCCCGCTGCCAGTGCAGGGGGCTGAGGCTGCTGGTGGGACAGCTGAGTTGACTTCAGCCTGGGCTTGGAAGAGCCGTGGCTTCTGGCGGCGCCGGGAATGTTCCCTCCAGCCGGGCAGCCCTGCTGGGAGAACAAGCCCAAGTCCCCGCCGCGTGCTGAGCTCGCCCCTCTTGCAGGCGGGCGCTGGTACAAGCGGCACCTGAGCTACCGGGTGGTGATCTGGCCGCCCTGCCTGCCGCCGCGCCAGGTGCGCTTGGCCGTGAGCGCCGCCTTCCAGCTCTGGAGCAACGTGTCCTCCCTGGTGTTCTGGGAGGCGCGGGACGGCCCCGCTGACATCCGCCTCACCTTCTTCCACGGGGACCACAACGACGGGCTCAACAACGCCTTTGATGGACCAGGTGCTGGTCACTTCTCGTAAGCTTTTCTTTTCCCGTGTGGGCTCTTCCCTGGCAGGGAGGAGGGCTGGGGTGGCAGTGGGTGCTGGAAGCAAGGCTCTGCCTGGCAGGCCTGCCACCCAAGGGCATATCCCAGTTTGCACCAGTTTGCTTTCTGATTTGGCATCCTCACTCCCAGCTCTGCAACTGGGGTCTGGCAGTGAGGCAGCTGAGATGCTCATTCTGGGATCATGCTGATGGCCTTTGAGGAGCCCTCCCCACCTGATGGCATCCTCCAAACCCCAGATTGTGCCTTCCACATAAGCCTTTCCACATGGGGCTCTCAGGCACACTCAGGGACAAGAAACCAAACTCATAAACCCCAGAGCAGAAAAACCCCCCATGCTGAGCAGCAGAAGGTAGAACTGGTTTGGATTGCACCTGCTGTGGGAAGCTGCTCTTCTTTCTCAGGAGACCTCCTGAAGAGCTACAATTGATGCACGTTTAAGCAAACCAGAGCTGCATGTACCTCCCCCCCACAGCCACCCCTGGGCTGGCAGCTGAGGGCCTGTCCTGCCCCACAGCCCATGACAGCTCTCGTGTCCCCAGGAGGTGCCCTGGCTCACGCCTTCTTCCCGCGGCGCGGAGAAGCTCACTTTGACAGCGCCGAGCGCTGGTCCCTGCGCAGCGGCAAAGGGCGCAACCTCTTCGTGGTGGTGGCACACGAGGTGGGGCACACCCTGGGGCTGGAGCACTCCCCTGCCAAGAGCGCCCTCATGTCTCCCTACTACAAGAAGCTCAGCAAGGATTTTGTCCTCAGCTGGGATGACATCTTGGCTGTCCAGAACTTGTACGGTGAGCCTGGCTTCCCCAAGCATCCCTCCGTTTCTCCAGAGCTGTTCCCTGGGATGGAGGGCAAGGAGCAGGGATGGGAGCAGGTGCCTGCAGGGGGGGAAAGACTACATGCCAGGGGCACAGTGGGGATGGGCCCCATCCCTTTGTGTTTGGGGAGGAAGATGCAGTAGAACATGTCAGATGGGTACCAGGTCCTCCAGGTCAGGGAAGGCTGGACTTGCTGTCTGCTCGTTTGCAGCCATGGGAACGCTGGTGCATGTTTTCTGGGGGTTCCAAGGGGTCTTTGCCACCATGGTATAGAGGGGACAGGAAGCAGACAGTGGAACAAGGCATGTTTGGACCGTGGGAGGGATCCACAGCCCTGTGCTCATGCAGTGCTTTGGGGAAAGCCCTTTCCCTGCCCTTTCTCCATAACTCACCACCGCTTGCCCCATCCCAGGGAAGCCCTCCAAAGGCTCTGCCATCCAGCTCCCAGGAAAGGTCTTCACTCACTTCCAGGACTGGAGCACAGATCTTTACAGTGAGGACCAGCAGCAAAGAAGCCTCAGCACCTACTACTGCCACTCATTCTTCGATGCCATAACTGCAGGTGAGTGTTGGCCCACAAAGCCCTCCTGAAACAGGTCTCTCCACCCCTCACCCCAGTGCCACAGCACCCAGCTTCTGCTCTGATAAGCTCCAGTGGTGGGAGAGGCAGGTTTGGCTAGTCCATAGCCCCATCTTTGCTCCTGGGTGTGGTAGCATCATTGAGACACTGCTGCCATGGAGAGGAGCATCTTCAGGACATGGTGATGGCTTGGTGTGTTGGGAGAGCAGGAAACATCTTAGAACTTGGGCTGTGGCAAGGCTTACTTGCTGCAGGAGCTCAACCGTGAAAGACCAGCCTAGAGAGGGAGCTGTGGTCAGTTTCTGTCCTCTCCAGGCTGGAGTGGGGGCCAGGAATGAAGCTGAGGGGGTGGCTGGAAAGGCAGAAGGGAGCGCCCAAACCTCAAGCATCCCGGAGGCTCTGCGCAGGGAGGAGAGGGGAGCAGGGGAGTGGTGGCTGGGGGGTGGGATGAGGTTTCTCACTGCTCACCCAGGCCCCCCTCTGCTCTGCAGACGCAGATCACAACCTCTACATCTTCAAGGGCGGGCACTACTGGCAGGTGCTGGCGAGCGGCAACGCCAGCGACCCGCGGCCCCTGCAGCCGCGCTGGCCCGGCCTCCCCGCCGGCATCGACGCCTGCGCCTGGTCCCAGCTCAGCCACAAGTTCTACTTCTTCAAAGGTACATGAGGCACGGGCAGGAGATCTCCCCTCGGGGCTGCTGCCTGTGGCCTGGCTGTCCAGGTCTTCATCTCAGAGAATCCCAGAAGGGTTTAGGTTTAGTCTGTCTGCCATGGGCAGGGACACCTCCCACCAGCCCAGGCTGCTCCAAGCCCCATCCAACCTGCCCTTCAACACTGCCAGGGATGGGGCAGCCACAGCTTCCCTGGGCAGCCTGGCCCCGGCTCTCACCACTCTCACACTAAAGAATTTCTTCCTAATGTCCAACCTAAATCTCCCCTCTTCCAGTTTAAAGTCACTACCCCTTGTCCAATCTTCTGCCCATGTTCCTTGTCCCCTCCCACTGGTCCTGTCCCAGTGCAGAGATGGGGCATTGTGGGATCCCCACTGCACTGGAACCCAGTGGAGCCCTGGGCTTGGTGCCTGCCATGGATTAACTCTGTGGCCTTGGGCAAACAACCCCAGCAGCCTGCCTCGGTTTCCCCTTGAAAGCTTGCAGGAGAGCAGCACTGGCCTGTGCTTGAAAATAAACTGGGATGCATCAAGCCCTTTGGGGTCCCTGGGAGAAAAACACTCCCCAAAGCTGCAGGAGCTGAGACCAGCATGGGCTGTTCCTGGTGCCCATGGATCCCTGTGCCAGGGCCAGGCAGCCCCAGGGAGCTGGAACACCATCCAGGAGCTCCCACAGCCCGACGGGCAGAGGGAGGTCACACCAGGCAGCCCCACTGCCAGGGCAGCCCCGACTTCTCATGGAAACCAGTCACTGGCCCTTCAGAAAGGGACCTTTGTTAGCGGGGCTGGGTGAGACTCAAAGCCCCTCTCCCTGCCCAGCCCTGCTGCTCCCTCCCGCCCGGGGCTGGGGCTGGAGAGCAGAAAGGGGCTTTTGTCCGCCTGCTGTGGGGACAGGGCTGTGTGGGGACAGGGCTGTGTGTGGGGACAGGGCTGTGTGGGGACAGGGCTGTGTGTGGGGACAGGGCTGTGTGTGGGGACAGGGCTGTGTGTGGGAACAGGGCTGTGAGGGGA